TTTTCAGCATAAATTTGCAGACATGTCCAGTGATATGGAACGAATTATGGATATGGCTTGTGAAGTGCGACAAATTGACTTCGAATAGTTGTACTTGTTTTGTGGTTATATCTGTAATGTGAGGCATAGTGATACTGTAAATTTGATAATGTAAGAAACGGTGTGTATTTAAATTGCTGAATAGCCAAATTGCTTTACTGCTTTGTAAAAAATAAAACAGGAAACATTTTCCCAACAAGTTTGATGGTACAGGATATAGTGCCCCTCCAGGGAGGGTCCTTGATGCTGGTGAGGGAGGCTTTTGATCTAAAGAATTAGACCAATGCGCCAATGTCTTCCATTCTCCCAGGCACTGTGTGACCCTTACGGGTTTAGTACTTCCCCCTTTTACCACTATTTCACTTTCCTACCACGGAATACTCCTTGTGTGCTTGCTTGCTTCTTGTTATGACAGAGCTCGTCGTTCAATTGTTTATATTTAAGATATGTATAAGTATCGTTTCAAATTCTCCCGATATTGCCCTCTAATAAGTGCAGTTTGAAACACCCCCCACGAGGAAAATTAGTCTACATTACTCCTTAACAATTTATTAGCAAAAATGCTATTTAACTATTGCGCCATCATAGACTGTTGATTCAGCTCGATTAAGTTGCAGATTTTTTTTGATAGCTCGAACGCAACATAAACTGATTATAGGTTGGTTCTTAACCTGCCCGAGTTAGGTTAACAGATGAAAGTTGTTATCCTGACTTTGTTTCAAAGCATAGGTCTATGTAAAGTATCCTACCACGGTATCAGTCCCTACCCCTCAACAGTCGGCTAACACTTGGGTGTTCTTACTGCCAGGTAAACAGGGGCAACCGGCGGGCCCACCGACTGTGAGCCAGAGGAGCTTCTGAGCTACGAGCTACCGCTTCTGTGGTGGTCTAGCAGTCAACACTAACAATTAGTGGTTATATATTATTACAACAGTCGACGAGCCTGTAATAATGTCTCGGAGGGAAACATTCACTGCATTGCCATCGGTCCTTTCTGTATGTAATGTGTGTTATTATTTGAACAGAAACTGGAAGTAAATTTGCTAGCGCTTAGTAAACAGTGGTTCACCAGTAGACACACAAGGAGCCACGCAGCTCCGGCAACTTTCACGTGAAACTAATGTTTGCCGTTCGGGACGTGAATGTGATGTTTGTCTGTGATCATTACTGCTGCTACCTGTCTAGGGTTGGCCACAAGTACACACGCATTCAACTCGTTCTTTCTCGTCCTCTTCCTCATCCATTTACTCTCACTAAAGGCCCCCTCCCACACACGCACGCGCGCGCTCTGTTTCTTCTTGAAAAAATACCATCTAACCTTAACGGAATGATCGACGGAATTGAAACTAGCCACGCTACTTCACAAAGGGGTTACTGCGCAAAATTATCTACGCCGCTGCCATATTTCATCTAGGAAGCATGCGAAAATTCAAACTTTTTGATAGCACCCCGAGATCGTCGCCCCCCCCTACCCCTACTGCGCATGGTCTCAGACCTGGAATAAGACGCAATAGAAAACACAGGAAAGCAAAGTTTATACTGAAGGTAAGTAATCGTCTCTCAAGACTTACCTGTACTCTTACATGTACTTGAAGGAGAGACAAGCGACCATCATTTCTGCCAGAGTGCAAAAATTTAACCGGCTTCCGTTTTACACTGGTATGAGAGGAGGGTAGCACCTCCCTGGGTGGTGGTTGCCTGCCAACCTACTCTGCTTCAAGCACCATAACTCTGCCTTAGACGACAGATTTTAACTTTGTTAGTTTCTTTATCACTAATTTCTTCCTCGACATTGATGCTTATTTGTTTCGTTCACAGACAAGTTCTAGTCGCAGTCGAGACAAATTCTAGTCTCAGACAAAACAAATTCTGGCCGAAGTCAGTAGTTCGATGTTTTTTGAGTTCTATAAGTTGTAGTTCCTTCGACGAGGACTCCCTGAACCTAGCGAAGGACTCTTAATCCAGGGAATGTAAGCTACCCTCCCCTGCCTCAACTCAAACCTGATTACACCCCAACTTCATTCCCCAAGCCTGTTCCCTTTGGTTTTAGCGCGCTATCGATGAGAGAAACAAGGACGAACGGGTGGATTCATTTTTTTTGGACATTGAAATCTCCTGTGCCGGTACGGTGTGATTTTTTTCCTTATTCTACACAACAGCGAAATAAAACATTGAAAAATACTAATGTGTAAACATTGAGATATGGTTATATTTTCTTTAAAGTTTGAGGCATGTATGAACATTGAAACATATATGTTCTGTTTAAAAGATATGCTCTTGGGATGTATGGACATTGAGAAATGCGTGTGCTGTATAATGTTTGAGATATGCTTATGTTCTGGATACAGTAAACTTTGAAAAATGCTCGTGAGATGTTTAACAATTACGACATACCGAACATACCTATGACCTCTACAGAACATTAAGACATGTGTTGTATAAATATAAGAGACATGCCCAGGCGATGTTTACCTCATAATCGGATTTCTTGTGTGATTTCTAAATGTTTTATTTGTGTGAGGGGAAGGGTGGAGCGGGCCAGTGGATCATCAGTATTCAGATGTCGTCTGCAATTCACTACAAACCTGGCTCCACAGTAATCATCTTTCCCCGCAAGACACACCTCTACCGCGTCTCTCTTCTGGTATAAATACACCGGAGGTGTATCTCGGTGTGTTTGTGTGTATATATATATATATATTTATTATATATATTTATATATATATAAAATATATTATATATATATATATATATTTTTTATAATATATATTATGGGTTTTAGGTTAGGTGTGGTAGACAGCAACCGCCCAGGGAGGTACTACCGTCCTGCCAGGTGAGTGTTAAAAACTAAGCCTGAAATTTGTTTTTACACGATGGTAGGATTGCTGGTGTCTTCTTTTTCTGTCTCATAACATGCAAGATTTCAGGTACGTCTTGCTACTTCTGCTTAACTTAGGTCACACTACACATACATGTACAAGCATATATATACACACACCCTTTGGGTTTTCTTCTATTTTCTTTCTAGTTTTGTTCTTGTTTATTTCCTCTTACCTCCATGGGGAAGTGGAACAGAAATTCTTCCCCCGTAACCATGGTGTTGTAAAAGGCTACTAAAATGCCGGGAGCAAAGGGGGTAGTAAAACCCCCTTTGTATATATTACTAAATGTAAAAGGAAAAACATTCGTTTTCCTTTTGGCCACCCTGCCTCTGTGGGATACAGCCAGTGTGTTGAAAGAAAGATAAAAATTTTTTTTTTTTTCTAAAGACGGTACGGGGTGATTTACATTTGTGACCCACATATACTGTGGTTTTCGCCTACCCTCGAAAGTAGCCTCCCTCCCAACTGTTTATTTTTTTTTCTAAGTTACTTACCATAACGAAATACTTAAACGGGATATATGTATGGCAATAAACCCTTTCAATAAGTGGATGAAAAAAGTATTCTTGCCCTAGTAGTAAGCTTTTAAAATGGGAATAAAAATAAGCACCCCGACAAAATTAAGAAAGCAATTTGCAGAACAGGCTTGATGAAGAACTTAATCAAGATATACACACATCGAAATATTCTTCCATTAAATACTCGTTCTACGGCCTGAGTCTTTTCTTCATGTTTTTGAGGGTCAGTGGTGTCGGCTGCATCACCAGGCAACGGTAGTGACTTGCATGGGTCTTGTCTATAATAACACCTTGAAGGCTAAGGCAAGAAGGGACATCGCTGCCTCCCACTACCACCAACACACACTAATAAGATCTGGTTACAAGCAAGGTGGGTGTGTGTCAATAAGACTGAGTGGGGAGTGACGGGGGGGGGAGTGTATTGAGGAGACTACGGTAAATTGTTGTGTTGTTGCAAGAGCCAGGGTGAACTGTGGCGACCAACCGACGCCTGGCCCCACCGTCCTCTTGAAGACTCTTGCTTGCTCTGCTTGGCTATATCCTTTCCCCACCCCACTAGAGCGTTTCCCTCACAGCCGCACATTGCGAGTCTACCTGATCTACTTGTACCTCTCCTTCCTATGTCCGGCAGCTCTAACTGGTCACCCGTCATTTCACTTGCCCTCAGTCTCGCCCCCCCCCCCGCAGCTTTCCCCCATCTCTGCCACAATTCACCCTAACCTTGCCATGGAATGCTTCGTTGCTCACTGGTGAGACCATTCGGCTCACGGGTTCGATTCTTTGGCAGAAACATATGGCTGCATCCAGGAAAAAAAAGTGTTAGAAAACTCCAGTCCTGGAAGGCAATATCCTATGTGAAAATAGTGTAGCTTGACAGAGCAAGCTGACTTCTTGAAATATATTGATGCTGCCGCTGGCAGCAACAACGGTCAAGTCAATCAGGTAGTCAACAGAAAAATCAGGCTTCAGGCCGGGCTGCAAAGGGTAAGAATACTCGAAACACCTTCATAATACTTCCATGGGTTGTCTTGAAGTTTTGTGAAAAGCTCTTGACCCGAGGAATTGAAGTTATCTTCCCATTCTCCGGATCAAACTTGATTTTCTCCCATTCCCCAGACCTTTATGGTTTTAGGGGTTTAGCGCTTTCCTTTGAATGCATCAATAGCAATAATTGCATTTTTCTAAAACAATGAGGAATTATCTGGCCAGCTGTGGAGGAACACAAGCGCACGCCACCACTGCCTGGGTTGACTGTGGCTCACTATTATATTATGTACTGACTTCAAAAAGAGGACACAGGTAGTTTAGATGGCCTACTCTGCCACACCCTCCTGAGAGCGGCTCACCCAGTATATGACAGTAAAGATACACAATAAACATACCCAAATGTTGTGTGTTTTATCATAAAGCAGGATTTATTTCCCGAGCCGCACCCTAGCTGGGTACGCCCACATGAGTGAGGATGGTTGGGTGTGAGTGGCACTCGCCGAGCATGAGCCAGTAGGCTTACTGTACTTCATCTTTTTCTTTGTTATGTTCTAATGTTTGTATGTTGTTACAGCTGGTGAGGCGCGGGGAGGAGGAGGAGAGTGAGTTGGAGAGGATCCAGGAGCTCTTCCCTCATGACGACCTACGTCTGCACGAGCTCTCCCCAGTCACCCAGGTACGTGAAACTTGATGATAAATTAGACACATGTGCAACACTTCGGTATCTTTCATGAGGAAACGTTTCGCCGCACAGTGGCTTCATCAGTCCATACAAAGGAGAATCGTGAAGAACAGGAGGAAGAACATGCTCCCCCTGTTCTTCACGATTCGCCTTTGTATGGAGTGATGAAGACACTGTGTGGCGAAACGTTTCCTCATTAAAGATACCCAAGTGTTGCACATGTGGCTAATTTATCAACTTGTCGGTTCTCTGAACCATTCTTCTACTTGAAACTTGCTGAAATTTTCTGCTGTGTTAAATTCGTGCTATTCAATGGTATAGTCATTCAACCTAGTAGAATGACTATACACTTGCTATGGTCACTGGCGTCTGGGGATCACTTCCCAAGTGAATATATCAGTAAAACTATACAAAATACCGGTATGATCAAAGTGATCGTCACACCTCAAACCTACTGACTTACCCATCCATCCTTCCTGCGTGTGGAGCTTCCTTGTGTACCCCTTCAAGGAGGGGCAAGGGTGCATTAAGGCTGGTCCAGAGCTCTTGATCCAAGGAATTTGAGATATCCCCCCCCCTCACTTTACTCGGATCGAACCTGATAACCTCACATTCCCCAGAGGCTGTATGCCCTTGCGAAGTTATCGGTTCCCCTTGAATGTAAAATAATGTAAGTAAAGGTAACATTTTTATGTCAAGATTGAGGGAAACCTGTTAGCCAGACTTGAGTCCTGGAGGTGGGATGTATAGTGCCTGCACACTGAAGGAGGGGTGGGGATGTAGTTCAGAGGGCAGTCTGAACTGTGATGTCAGCACGCTATTGGCAAGACAGCGATTGAATGAATGACGGTGAGCGTATCTCCTCTTTTTTGGGAGGTGGGAGGAGTGAACTCTACCTCGGTGGGATACACAGCTGGTGTGTTAAAAAAATAGCAATACATATAATTTTCTCAAGGACATTCCTATCACTAGTCTCCTGCGCCATTTATATAAACGGTAGGACTTAAATATTTTGTTTGTTGTTTATGCGATTATTTTCTATTGAGTTTTGTGATTTTTAGTGTTTTATAGTTCATATATATATATATATATGTCGTGCCGAATATGTAAAACTGGTCAATTAGCAAGAACTCATTTAAAATTAAGTCCTTTCTAAAAATTTCTCTTATACATTTAAAGATATATTTTTTTCATTAATGTTAATGTAAAAAAATTAATTTTGCACCAAAAGAATCTTAGAAAACTTACCTAACCTTATTATAACAAGAGCAATTTATTTTAGCCTAACCAACTAAATATATTTTAAATTTGTTTACAATAATTAATTTAAACAAACAGTGAAATATATTTTTTTCGTTAGGTTCAGATGATTTTGGCGAAATTATTTCATACACAAATTTTCACTTTCCTATATGGCAAGATGACGTTGTTATTTAAGCCAAGATCGCAAGTTCTGCCTATTCGGCACGACACACACACACACACACAAACACACATATATATATATATATATATATATATATATATATATATATATATATATATATATATATAAACTATATTCAACAAGTCGGCCGTCTCCCACCGAGGCAGGGTGACCCAAAAAAAGAAAGAAAATCCCCAAAAAGAAAATACTTTCATCATTCAACACTTTCACCACTCTCACACATAATCACTCTTTTTGCAGAGGTGCTCAGAATACAACAGTTTAGAAGCATATACATATAAAGATACACAACATATCCCTCCAAACTGCCAATATCCCAAACCCCTCCTTTAAAGTGCAGGCATTGTACTTCCCATTTCCAGGACTCAAGTCCGACTATATAAAAATAACCGGTTTCCCTGAATCCCTTCACTAAATATTACCCTGCTCACACTCCAACAGATCGTCAGGTCCCAAGTACCATTCGTCTCCATTCACTCCTATCTAACACGCTCACGCACGCTTGCTGGAAGTCCAAGCCCCTCGCCCTCAAAACCTCCTTTACCCCCTCTCTCCAACCCTTTCGAGAACGACCCCTACCCCGCCTTCCTTCCCCTATAGATTTATATGCTTTCCATGTCATTCTACTTTGATCCATTCTCTCTAAATGACCAAACCACCTCAACAACCCCTCTTCTGCCCTCTGACTAATACTTTTATTAACTCCACACCTTTTCCTAATTTCCACACTCCGAATTTTCTGCATAATATTTACACCACACATTGCCCTTAAACAGGACATCTCCACTATATATATATATATATATATATATATATAATGTCGTGCCGAATATGTAAAACTGGTTAATTAGCAAGAACTCATTTAAAATTAAGTCCTTTCTAGAAATTTTCTCTTATACGTTTAAAGATATATTTTTTTCATTAATGTTAATGTAAAAAAATTTAATTTTTGCAACCAAAAAATCTTAGAAAACTTACTAACCTTATTATAAACAAGAACAATTTATTTTAGCCTAACCAAAATAAGTTTAGATTTGTTTTACAGTAATTTAATACTAACCAAACAAGTGAAATATATTTTTTTTCGTTAGGTTCAGAATGATTTTGGCGAAATTATTGCATACACAAATTTTCACTTGTCCTATATGGCAAGATGAGCGTTGCTGTTTAAGCCAAGATCGCAAGTTCTGCCTATTCGGCACGACATATATATATATATATATATATATATAATATATATATATATATATATATATATATATATATATATAATATATATATAATATATATATATATATATATATAATATATATATATATATATATATATATAATATTATATATATGGTGATGAAAAATGATGGTGGCAGATGGTAATGATGGTAATAGGTTGTCTTGAGACAGCATTACCCTCTACAGTATTATCCACAGTGGCTGATAGTCACAATTATACTGTATATCCAGTAACATCTGGATACTTTCACGAGTTACGTAAACTCATGTTAATGTTTCAAGATTTTTTTTGTTATATAAATCTGGCGGAGGATTTGGCATCTTTCTGATGAGTCAACCGGAAACTGGAGCTGATTACAGGAGAGCTGTCATCTTCTATTCTGCCCAGAGTGGGAAGTTGTTCTTATTAACTAGGAATGACAATGTTTTGTTGAGGTGGGCGTACCTGGGTCGACCAGCGTGGCGAACCTCACTGTTTTGTCAAGGATAAGAGGCGCGGGTGACACGCATGGACCCTGAGGGCGGTGTCTCACTGGGTGTCAGGGCCGGCCCTCGCCTCCCTCAAACACACGCACACATTCTGTTGTAGCAATGTCTCGTTCCTGGCTGTCTCCACCCACTCTCCACTCCCTCGAATCCTTTGCTGATGTGATGATGGGGAAGGGGGGGGGGAGATTGTCTCGTCTAGAAAAAATAATTGTAGTTATGTTGGCAGAATTACCGACAATATGTTACGTAAAAGGGTACACTTGCAACTAATGAGACATCTTACTGCGGCAGTGTTTCTCTTTCTAGGAGCTTTGGCTATACAATGCCACTAGAGAGCGAAACATTGCAGTAAAGTCTCATTAGTTCAACATGTGTCCTTTTACTTCACATGAAAAATAACTGTAGTGATAGCTCCGGTAATCACCTTCCCTTGACCCGCATTCTGCTTAGTTGATGCCCTGATCAACAAAGCTGTTGATACGATACTTAAAATTAGCAGCTCGATGTAGGTACCAAACCTCAGCTGATCAGGAATTTATTTCGAGGAACGTGTTAAGTTTCTCATTGAAGACAGTTATGGATCTGTCTGTAATTTCCCTTATACTTGAGAGGAGTGTGTTGAAAATCCTTGGTTGTGGGGAACCACACGTCTCTGGGGAAAAGACTGGCTCACCAAGGGTGATGCTCGCCACATAGGAAATTCCTTCTCTTACTAAACCTTGCAACATAATTCAAGGGAGATTGTCCTAAATCTAACTTGAGGCATCGGCTTCCGTGAGGATGTGCTGCATTGAAAGTTAGACAGTCATGCAAAGAGGTATTACCCTCCTGAAATAAGTGTGAAATGGAAAGCTGTTAAATATTTGCCTACCTGGCACGACTGCTGATATTTTCTTTATTTCATAAACATGTGAGGCGAGAAGTAAATCTCACAAAATTCTGATTGCATTCATTATACACTTATCTTCACTTTTCTCTATTTATTAATAGTTCCTATCTTTATAACATTTCCTTAATGTAGCAACCTTGTCTTAGAGCAGATATAACAGATATTAACAAAGGGAAGTCACTGATGAAGTGAGGTAAGAACAATAAAGAATCTTTTATCAGGTTCTGATGTAGAGGATAGCGGAGCACTGCCCTCAGCTTCCTTATCCATTATTTAGGTTTCAGCTGTTGTTGAATTGTAGATGACAGACCCAAAAGTCGTAATTGCTAACTTTTTTTTTAGACATCGTTTTGACTGCTTTTGCGTTTTTTGTCTTCAACTCAGGTATTTTGCACTACCTACTGTCGTAGGATTACGCATCGTGTATTTAATGTGTGCTAAGGATTTTGCTAGGCTGAAGACTTCCTGATTGTGAACACTAGTATCTGTTGTGCCGATAATCGCTGATTTCAGATACTGTCGTCGAGATCTGCCATCTTCCGTTAAAATAAGTTTGGCATCTTTCCACTGCATAAGTTGTGCTTGTTTGTCCCGATGACTGATGCATGAATTGTTTGTAACGAAAAATGTAGTACGGAAAAGATGTTGCTAATGCTGATACAAATCATCCAATACTGCAGACATAGGACCCAGACGATTGTATCCACTTCAGGAAACAGAGACTAGACAAAAGCCTTATCTTTCCAACAAGCCACACGGCAGATCTACTCGCCAAGATGCTGAAAAGAAATTGTACTAACATAGTCGTAACGTCAAAAACCATTCATGACATCACCAGAACTGGATACGCAAGCAGTTAGCTGCAGTACCTGTGCGTAGGCTACGATAACTATTTCATTGGAGAAACGTCACGAAGCTTAGACACCAAAATCCTGGA